CACTCTCCCCTAAACAATTCTCGGGTGTAAATGGGTTGGGTCGAGTCGGATAAAATGGAACTAGACCCGACTGGATCCAAGGGGCCCCCCTACTTGGACCCCTTGAAAGGTTGGCCTGAAAGACACATTCCAACTGGCCCTTGACCCAGGTCAGTCTATATTATAGCAATATTATATACATAACTATATAATTATTGTATTATACATAACATGCATATACATAACATGCACACATCTAGTATAATTATCACATCATATTTAATATAATATGTTATATATATCCACATTAGCATCATCCAAGCCTTATCCCAACTATTTGGGGTCAGCTACATGAATCCTCTTCTGGGAATCCACTCTATCAAGAGCTATACCCTCAGTCCGACCATAAGTCACCATATCTCAAGAATATTAAAATATATATATATATACACACACACACACACACATATATACATATATGTATCATAATAACTTTGCAATAAGATCTCTTAAGAACAAAGTTGCTCTCTCTCTAACCACTCTCAATTTATAGCCTAATCCACCCATCACATTTCACTACTTAACCAATGTGGGACTAAGAGTTTCATTCTAAAACTTTATTCATTTATACAATTACATGTACCCATTCTTCTTTCTTATAAATTATAGAAATCTCTCTCTCTCTCTCTCTCCCCTTCATTTTCTGTAGGTTATATACTCACACTCTCTGTCCATCTCATAGGTCATTCATTCATGAGAAACACATTTAAAACTCGACTCAAATTTTGTACATACGAGGTGCCATTATAACATTATGAATATTACGAAGTACAAGAAAAATTAGATCTAATTAAATGAAAATCTTGGCTAATTTGGAATTTTAGACAGCGACCTATATAATAAAGGACCTTTGAAATATGAAATTGCAAACATTTCTTAAAATGAAATTGCAAACTTGAGGTTGACCATTGACTTGTGAGTTTGATGTCAGTTGTTGAAAAGATCATCATCATCATAATTGCTAAATCTATTGGAGAAATTTTAGAAGCACAGTGGCATCTATTGAGCAAAGTTGGGGAAGGCACAAGGTTAGAGAGTGATGCATCCCTAAATCTAGAAGAAAGATTTGTGAAGATTCCAAAGAAACCTAGAACAAAATTAAATAATTATCCTAAGAAGTTTCCTAGAAACTTCTCTGAAATTTCCAACAATAAATCATTGTTTAAAGAAGTATCTAGGAACTTTCTCTAGAAATTTCTTGATAATCTCTCTATAAATGACTTCCTTAGCTTATAAATACAGCCCAAAGGGGTCCATTCCAACAACTTGAAATTGAGAATTGTCTTGAGCTTTCTTTGAGAATTTGAGAATGAGTGATTCCCACGTGAGGTGGAGTAATTCCCTCTTAGTTTCTTCCCTTCTTATAAAAAACAATTGTATTCTATCTTTCTATTGAAATAACAAGTGAAATTCCATTTTATTGTTCCCTATTTCTTAATCCTCTTGCCTTAGAATACATCATACAATGTTTCCATGTGTTAGCCTTAGCTCGTTCATCTGGAATTTTAGTTCTATTAGTGCACCAGTCATTGATTGCATGAAACAAGGGGAGTTTAAATGGACTCAAGCAGCTGAAGAAAGTTTTAAACTCCTAAAACAAAAAATGACTGAGGCTCCAGTACTAGCTCTACCAGACTTTTCGAAGGTTTTCGTGGTGGAATCCTACGCTTCACACAATGGCATTGGCGCAATCCTTAGCTAAGAAAGGTAACATGTATCCTTCTTTAGTGAAAAACTCAACGCAGCCAAGGTACGATACTCAACTTATGATATTGAACTTTATGCGATTGTCCAGCACTTCATTATTGGAGGCATTATTTGATTCAAAGGGAATTTATCTTATACTCGGATCACAAAGTTTTACGTTATTTAAATTCACAAAAGAAGTTGAACTCCCAACATGCAACATGGACTCATATCTTCAAGACTTTACCTTCACTATCTATCATAAGTCGGGAGCTATGAACAAGGCCGCTGATGCACTTAGTTGAAGGGCCTATCTTCTTCAGACTCTCACATATGAGGTGGTTGGATTTGAGAATTTACTTCAAAATTATGAAAATGACCACTATTTTCAATAGATCCTGAAGAAATGCCGAACTCAAGGAACCTATATGGATTTCATCCTCCATGAAGATTTTTTTTTTTGTATACTTTTTTTCTATTTTTAACACCCTTTAAAATCTTTAGGTTACATTTAGAACGGGTGTGAACTATTAAAATTACCATAGTTGCCCTTTAATTAGTCAATGTTAAAAAAATTCCATGCAAGCTTTCTATTCAAAGGAAATCGTCTTTGTATACCTGAGTGCCCTTAAACTTAAAAATCATTTATGAGTTGCACAGAGGTGGTCAAAACAAGACCCAAGCTCTTGAAAAGAAAGGTACTTTTTGCCTAGATTAAAAAGGGATGTTGGAAGATTTGTTGAAAGATGTGGGATCTGTCAGCGTGCAAAAGGATGCACACAAAATACTAGTTTAGACACCCCAGATGTTAGCCTAGACTTTGTGGTGGGACTTCTAAGAACAAGGCAAGCGCTGGATTCTATATTAGTTGTTGTTGATCGGTTTTCCAAGATGGCCCATTTCGTACCTTGTAAAAATACTACAAATGTGACTCGGACTGCAATCTTATTATTTTGAGAGGTTGTGAGGTTTCATGGGTGCCTAAAACCATAACTTCAAATCGGGACACAAAGTTTATTAGCCACTTTTGGAGAACATTATGGCGACTCATGGACACTCAATTACAATTCAGTAGTGCCTATCACCCACAAATTGATGGGTAGATAGAGGTCGTCAATAGAACCTTAGGCAATCTTCTTCGAAGTCTTGCAGGAGATCGACCGGGGTCATGGGATTTTGTGCTTGCACGTGCTAAGTTCGCCTATAACAGTTCAAAGAATCTTTCAACATGCAAAACACCACTTGAAATATGGGCGAACGCCATTGCACAATTCGGATGTGCCGCCGATAACGAAGCCTGGACATTTTAGTGCAAATGTTGTTGATCTGACTGATCATTGAAAGAAGTCCATGGCAATGTTCAACATATGTTAGCCGAGGCATATAAACAATATAAGGCTGTTGTTGACAAAAGTCGCCATGCAAAGGAGTTTAATGAAGGGGATATGGTTATGGTGTACCTCCTTCAAGAAAGGTTCCCAACAAAAAAATATCATAAACTCAAACACTGGAAGATAGGACGGTGTCGAATCTTGAAACGCATTGGAGCAAATGCCTATTACCTCGAGTTACCTAAAGGAATAGGGATCAGCCCAGGTTTCAACATTTCAGATTTATTCAAATCAGTGTTTTAAAAAGTAGACTGCCCAACGCCTAGGCGGTCCAAAAGGCCTGGGCGCCTCACCCAGGTCTAGGCGGCCAAATTAGGCTAACTGTCCCTAGGCGCCTATTTAGGCGCCAAGGAACCCGTATAGTCAGGGGCGCCTAGTGCCAGCTCTGGGCGGTCGCCCAGGGCCTACGCCCTGCCCAAGGGCGGAAATGCCTTTCGTTTAGGGCATTTTTTGGTCTTTTTTTACTACTAAATGAGTAAAATCATGGGTTTTAGGTTCATTTGAAACCTAAACCCCATTTGAACCTATTTTAGAGAGAAAAAACTAGTTTTTAGTGATTTCTATAGAATCGAAGGGCAAAGTTACAAAAAATTGATCTAAGCATCACGCATTGATGTTAAATTTAGTGGACTATCAGACTATGGACTTATGGAGTATGGAGGAGTGCATGCTATGTGGACTTGTGTACTATACATTTGATGTGCCCTAAATCCCTAACTCTTATGTGTTATACAATTATACTTATATTATTAGACTATGACATTTTTCTTTCTACTAGGACGCCCAGGTTTTGGCGCCTGCCTAGGTGCTGGATGGCCTGGACCACCCCAGCCGCCTAGGTGCTGCCTAATGGTTTTCTAAACACTAATTCAAATATCATGGAGAAGCTGCAGCTATCAATTAGGACGAGATCCAAGACAATTTACCTATGCAAGAGAGTGAGTGCATTCTTGACATCATTGATATCTGAAATATGATGACTAATAAAAAACAACTCGCTCAATACCTAGAGAGGTGCAAAGACAAACCTGAATCTGAAGACACTTGGCTAACAGAGGAGCAATTGAAGGAGATCGATTTGGAAATATGGAGGTCCGTGGTTGATAACTAGAGGACGAGTTCTTTTGACGCAGGGGTGACTGATGCATCCTTAAATAAGAAAGATTCTTGAAGATTCCAAAGAAACCTAGAACAAAATTAAATCATTATCCTAGAAAGTTTCCTAGAAACTTCTCTGAAAATTTCCAGCAATAAATCATTGTTTAAAGAAGTATCTAAGAACCTCCTCTAGAAATTTCTTGATGATCTCTCAAAATATATCTCCTTGGGCCTATAAATAACCTAAAAGCGGTCCATTCCAACAACTTGGAAATGAAAATTGTCTTGAGTGAGTGATTCCTATTCAAGTGGCGAGTGATTCTCATGTGATTCCCTCCTAGTTTCTTCCCTTCTTATAAAAAGGGTTGTATTCTATCTTTCTATTGAAAAAAAGTGTGAAGTTCCATTTTATTGTGCCCTATTTCTTTATCCTCTTGCCTTAGAATACATCAGAGAGAGTGAGGAAGATATGCATACGAGAGGATGCAAACTTTACAATATAGACAAATTACTTGGCCAGTTTCAAAAAATTGTAACTGAAAGAGATGCAAAAGGCAAAATAGAAAGAACTTGAGTAACAAACAGGACATGAGAACAAGATCACAGTCCCATTTCCAATTCTTTGAAATCGTATAATTAAGCCTCAGCTTATATCCTACATTCCAAGATATCCAAAAACAAAGGGAAGAATCCAATAACACAATAAAGCTCACAAATTTCATCATTAAGAAAGCAGTATTTTCATCATTAAGAAAGCAGTAGATAGAAAGAGATTGGAGCACAAACCAGAACTTGAATTCAGGGAGGCGACGGATGAAAGGCCTGAACTCATCAGAGCCCTTTGTCGGCAGAGTCGGGCCATCAGAGCCATCAATCTCGGGATCAGTCTGGGGAGACAGAAACCCGATGAGGAGGTTGAGTATATAGATTCCCAACCCATAAGACACGATGTAGAACCCCTGAACCAGATACACACGCACAACATATGCCATGGCCACACATAGGAAGGCGAACCATCTCGCCGGAGGGTGGGGCGCCAATTTGTCGAGATAATACTGGAATCGACGAGAAACGGCACTCACCCACTGAGCAGTGGCAGGAGAAGGACCCTCGCCAGCATCGCTAAAATCCATTGGATTATCTGGTTTTAGAGGGAGAAAACCCTAGAATCAAAAGGAAGAGAAAATTTTCAACTTAGTTGCGTGGTCGTTTGTTTTTCTCTCTAGGGTTGGTGGGTCGATGCCATGGAAGCAGCGGAGGAATGCAGACCAAGGAGCTAGTGGTGGAGGCCTAAATAACAGAGCCGAGCCGAGCCGAGCCGAGCCGAGCCGAGCGGACCTTCTCTCTCTCCTCTCTGTCTATATGGATCCCTCGCCCTCGAACAAGGAAGTCCCCACGGATCAAGAGAGAGAGAGTGGCCAACGTTCAGACTTGGTTCACTTGGGGTCCACGTAAAATCCACCGTTTCACGCGGCTATGTAGGGGTGGCAACGGGTTGGGTACGGGTCTCGTTCAGACCGGAATAGTATTTGGGTCCAAATATTTGGCCAAGATGGAACCCGTTGGGTTTAAAAATTTGACTAATATATGTACTTATTGGGTCCTAGGTTTGGTCCAATCTATTGCCATCCGTATTATCTTTTTTTTTTTTTATCAGATGACTATAAGTTGTTATTGTATATAAAGTACACCAAAACGAATAAAGCTTAAAGTATTTTATCTCAAATATTTTACGGGTCGGGTCCAGCCGAACTTGGCCTCGAATAAGGTTCAGATCCAAGTTTTAGACCCAGACCCGACCCATGGGGTCCAAATATTGGATTCATACCCAAACCCGTGTTGGGTATAATCAGCGGGGCTTGGGTCGGGTTCAGGTCCATTGCCACCCCTACAGCTATGATATATTTTCATTTGTGAATATATTTAGCAAGTCAGGGAATAATAAAATATTGATATACAAAAATATCGCTAATAAATCAGTTTTATTTCAAAAAGGCGAAAGAAAAAAAATCATGTAAAACTTACATATCGCCAAAATTAAGATAAGTTATAGATTCATGAATAGTTTGGATTTGGTTCAACAAAATATAGTGAAAATATATATATAAATGACACAGTATAGGATTCTGATTTGCAGTTATTATATATATGTATTAAAGACATAAACAATAATTTTATAGTCTTACTAGTATCAGGCTAATACTTGGCACTTTTTTGTTGAAACTTTCAATAAATTCAGCAACAATGCTTGCTACAATGTTACAACACAAGATGTATTGTAGATTTATTGAGAGCATAAAATGAAACAACAATAACAATATCAAGCACAACTAATTAGCAAATAACAAAAACTGTAAACCAAAGTCTAGGATTATTTTTCAAAGAAAAAAATAAAAAACATCTTCAATATAAGATTACAATTGATTAAAAGAAAACGCAAAGATCCAAATATGTAAAATAGTGGTACATCCATGAAGCTATGTTGTAATCACCAATGAAAAAAGATATAAAAATAAAAAATAAAATATACAAACTTCTCTATGCATAAAAAAAACAACAAAATACTTAAGCAAATTTGAATCTCGCACTGAATTCCTAGCTACCGAAATCTTTAGCATCATTGAATCTTTCTCCTGCTCTTTATAATAACAATATAGGTTTTACAGAAAAAAACAAAAAAGGATGCTATGGATTTAAAAAAAAAAAACACTTTTTTTTCATTGGGTTACTCTTTTTCTAATTCTACCTATTATTTGGAGATATAGGATTGCTTTACTTTTTTTTGGGAATATATTGCTTGTATGTTTTCGTACACTTTTTTCTTAAGGGAAATCAATGGTGAAATTTTTGTTGAAATTTTTTGTTAAATCAAGATTCTTAATTTACTCCCACTGTCAATGTACTTATCTTTAAATTAAAACTCATTAATATTAAGTTAATCAATAAATAAAGTTATAGGGAATAAGTTTTTTTTGAGAAAAGATGAAATATCGATTTATATTTTATTTGTTTTTTCTTTTGTTTTTTTTGCTTTTATTCGGTAATAGGCTAGAGCTGAGTCTCGGCATGGGCTTTTTGGCTTAATCAAGGCCAAGCTCGTTGCAAAGCTGCTTGAGTAGGATTGGGAGCCCATACTTGGCAAAGACTAGGATTAGGGCCGAGAATTCACCCAATCTTGATCCGAATGCTATTAGGATATGCGTATGGATCCAAGATTTGGATTCTAAATTCTGATCCAACCTAAAATCGGATCGGATCTGGGTGCATGTGGATACGATCTAGATACGACCCAATTTTAAAAATAATATAAATTATATTATATATATAGTGAGAAATAACACTATGAGACCCTCCCACATCTATGTGAGTAGGACCCCAATGATAACCATTAAATTTTAACATAGTTCTCTAAAAACGTTATGACATGAGTGTAGGAATTGGGTGAATGAGCTTTATAGAGATATGTATCAAAATTTAATAGTGATCTTTTGAGGTTCTACTCACATGAGTGCGGGAGGGTTTCATAGTGTCATTACTCTGTATTATATGAGTAATGATCCTATGAGACCCTCCTGACACCCATGTGTGTAGGACTCCAAAATATCACTATTAAATTTAGCACAGATCTCTAGAAAAGTTATCACATGGGTGTGAGACTTGACTTTTCTAAAGATCTGTGCCAAATTTAATGGTGATCCTTTGGGGTCCTACACACATAAGTGTGGGAGGGTCACAAGATCATTTCCCATATCATATTCAAGTAAAGATACTATGAGACCCTCCCACACGCATGTGAATAGGACCCCAAAGATCACCATTAAATTTTGACACAGATCTCTAGAGAAGTTATTACATTGGGTTTATTGATAACTTTTTTAGAGATCTGTATCAAAAGTTTATTGATAACTTTTTTAAAGATTTATGTCAAAATTTAATGGTGATGGTTTGGGGTCCTACTCTCATGGATGTGGGAAGGTCTTGTAGTATCATTATTTTATAATATATATAATTATTTTAACTTTTAGAAAAAGTAATCCGCACTGTAGATTTATAAAAGATGATCGGTGGGGATTTATCCTTACTTCTCTCTCTCAACAAAATACGGTACCCCATCGTTAGGGTTTCTTCTCTAAACAAAGGACATTATCATTAAGGGTTTCTTCTCTATAACATCCGTCGCCATTTCTCTGTCACAAAACCCTCCCACAAGCTTGCTTAACTAGCAAAACTATTCTCTATAACATCCTTCACCATTCTCTATGTCACAAAAACCCCCACAATTTCGAACTTAACAAGCAAAAGTATTCTCTACAACATCCGTCGCTATTTCTCTATGTCACAAAACCCCCACAAACGCGAAATTAGGTGGCAAAACCAGAGCAAATAAATTCGAGTCATTCCTCGCCATTTCTCTGTGCCACAAAAACCCAACAAACTCAGCACAAAAACCCGACAAACTCCAACTTAGCTAGCACAACCTATCACAGAGGAATCAAATTGATGACTATAAGAAGGAGTAGCATTGATGACTATAAGTTCGGTGAAATATCCTTTCGAATAAACCAAGGGCCGCACCATTACATTAGGAGTCGCCCAAAGAGTCTACCAAGCAACCTCGCCTATCTCTCTCTAAACAAGTGTAATTGAAGCACAATCGCTCCAAACAGGTACGCCCATTCCATTCCCTGCTTTTTAGGCTTTTTGCGAGCATATTTTTTTTTTGGCCAAAGCCTAGATTTCTCTCTCATCTCTCAATTATTTTTTTTATGATTTTTTAGTCTTGTCGAAGTTCTTCGAATCCCATATAGAAACCCTAAATTTATCTTTAGTTTTCTTGCTCAAATCTATGCATTTTCATGGCTTAACAGAGGGACCTGTGAAGAACCTATAAAATCGGCCAAATTTGAGATATCTCTCTCATTTCTTAGTTTATTTATTTATTTTTGGTGGTTGTTGAAGATCTTTGAAGCCCCATAAAAACCTTAAATTTTTTTTTTCTCTGTCTCATCTTTCTGTTATGCTTTTTGATTTTTTACTCTTTCTTTAAATTGTGATTTTTTATTTATTGTTATCACTGTTTTATTTATCTCTCTGTTATCAATGTTTCTTTTTGTTGAATAACATTTGTAGTTTCTAAGAAGTACAATGTTGATTATTTATTATTTATATACTCCCGTGTTTTTCATTTTTGGTGGTTTATGAAAGAAGGTGTTCCCATAGAATGCGTTTTGGAATGTTAATTTTATGATATTACTCTGCTCATGTAGTCAACTATTGGCTACTAGATTGTAGTTTTTCTCCACCATTTATTGTGTCTCTGCCAAATGTTACTCATTTATTTCTTAAAATCAGCTGTTAAAAAGATTTTCTTGTAACCTATCTGTACCATGCTTCCAGCAACATATGAGTAACTTGGTATTAATATATAACATCTTGGAAGCTATTTGTACCATACTATGGAGTTGCTCAATTTACCTTTCAAAAATTTTGTTGCAAAGAATCCGTTGGTAGTGCAGATGGTTTGGTTTAGGTTGTTGGTATGTGTCAAATGTTATTTTTGATGTGAAAGATGGATGTAAATGGCTTATCTCTAATTTACGTGGCCCTAATGCAACATCTGAATGGAGTGAATTTTGGAATGCACTTTCACATGCTTATAATGAGTTTTGGAATGAGCTTTGTACATCTCTCTATTATGTTTTTTGAGAATTTTGGATTGAATTCTTTGGGCTCAGAATTGTGCTCTTAGATGCGAAGGTATGATTGTATTTCTCTTTTATGCTACTGTTGTGGTGTATTTTTATTGCTTTTTTTTTTTTGATACTGTTGTGTTCTTTTTGGTTAGCAAAATGTCTAATGTTAAAGAAAATTCTAAGCAAATTACCACTGTAGAAGACATTTCATCTAGAATCTCCAAACGTAAAAATGTTTCTTCTGTTTGGGAAGGATTTGATAAAATCACTAAAGAAGATAGTTCTGTAAAAGCAAGGTGTATGCATTGTTGAATTCAACTAACAAGAGGTAGTTCAAGTGAGATAAGTCATTCACATAACCATTTAAGATGTCCAAGGAGAATGCATGCAACTTTAGGCCAACAATTATTAGCAACATCATTTAAGAAAGGGGAGGGGGTTTAGCAAATTTTAAATTTGATCAAGAAAGAAGTAGGAATGATATTGCAAAAATGATCATCCTACATAAATACCAATTCTCAATTGTGCAACCCACAAGATTTAGAAATTTTGTGAAAAATCTTCTACCATTGTTTAAGATGGTTTCTCACTCCACAATAAAATCAAGTATTATGGGAATTTACAAGAGTGAGAAAAGAAACTTGCGGAGTTAAAGAAAATTCCAATTTGAGTGAGTCTCACCATGGACATGCAATCTTCATGTTGGAATCAGGGGTATTTGTGCTTAACTGCACATTATATCAATGAATCATGAAAATTATAGAAATGAAGCCTTAGTTTCGTATATGTACCATCTTCTCATACAGGGGAGGTCATTGCTACAACGCTTTTGGATCTTTTAATGCATTGGAAGCTTGAAAAAAAGTTGTTTACAGTTACTCTTGATAATGCAACATATAACGGTGTTGCAACATCATCCCTCAAGAGACAATTGTCTCGAAATTTGTAACTTGTCCTCGACGGTAAGATGTTTCATGTGCAATGTTGTGCACATATTTTGAACCTTATTGTGCAAGATGGGTTATAAACAATAGCTTTGAGAGGGTATCAAGTTTATCAAGGCCTCACAAGCTAGGCATGAAAGGTTTAATGAAACAATTAGCCTACTCCGAATAGAAAGTAAAAAAAAATATATGCCTTGATGTTCCACCTCGGTGGAATTCGACTTATAAAATGTTAGATGTGGTCCTAGCATTAAAGGAGGCATTTCATCGTTTTTGTACAATATGAATTTTCGCCCAATTTGGTACCATTTGATCGTGAATAGGAGAGTGCAAAAGAAATATGTGATTGTCTGAAACTTTTTTATGATGTAACATGTAGATTTTAATGAAATGGAGCATGAGCTCTAAGGAACATATAGGTTCTATGACAATCAAAATGAAAGGTAAAATTTGATAAGTATTGGAAGATTTGTTCTTTGGTTTTGGCTTATAACAGTTGTGGTTTATCCTTGATATAAACTCCTGCTTGTGAAGTTCTACTACTTAAAAATTTATGCAGAGCACCAGGTAAGTATAGTTCGGATTGGGATTTATGATCTATATGCAAACTAGGAAAGTAATAATGCATTACCTGGTAGCTCTGGGAGTACTTTGGATAGTGGAGTGAGAGAGAGAAAGAAATTGGACTCTATTGCTAAGTTGATAGGGGGATTTTTAAACTTGCATTGATGAGAACTCAGGCAATTTATCTAGAAAGTATGAGTTGGACATGTACTTAGAGGAAACTGTTTTCCAATTTGATCAAAACTTCAACATCCTAAATTGGTGGCACTGTATGATGTGTTTTTAATTTGATGGAAGTAATTTCTTTTAGTTGAGAATGATGAAATTCTGTGGATGTTTATTTTTAATTTGATGGAGGTAAGGATATGGGTTTATTTTATTTGAGAATGATGAAATTCTATGGATATTTATTTTTAATTTGATGGATGTAAGGATATGGGGTTTCTTTTATTTGAGAATGATGTATATATAGTTATTTGAATTCTAAAGATGTTTATTTTTAATTTGATGAAATGTTAGAGGGTTCAACATTTTAAGATTTATGTAATAAGGGCTTCCCTTTTTTATTCAAATCATATATTCATATGAGCTTTTTTTTTTATTCATCGCTTTTTCTTACCATAATTACATACTATTATTCCCTAATTTTGATTGCTGCGGGTCTCCAAAAAATCAATACTACCCTTGCCGATAAAAAAAAGTAACACTAAAACCGAAATGAACTCAAATAGATGTTTAACACTGAAAATAAGGGGAATCCATATGTTGACTATGGTAGTCTCATGTGACCACCAAATGTTTTGCTTTTTAAAAGAGGGCGTGGAAAATTTAAGATTAGAATTCAAATGGAAGTAAATCCAGATCTAGATCCAGATCCTATATAAAATTTCGAATTCAGATATGAATCCAGATCCAAAGTATACTATGGATCTAGATCCGGATCTGGGTGGATCCGAAACGGATCCAAAAAATTCTCACCCCCTTAACTAGGACAGGGTTGACCAAGTCTGTTGCAAGCCTATTTGAGCAGGTTCCTAACAGCCAGCACCACTTTTATTTTTATCATGTGAAACATGTACGGTAGGGTAGTGCTTACCAGAGAAAATTTTATGCTCCTACAAGAGCAAACTGTCTCTTTGTTCAATCAGCCAAAGCACAAGCTAGGGATGTTTTTCTGCTCTCAACTTTTTGGGATGTAATCTATAGAACCTAGGGACCAATCTCAAAGAAAACAAAAATTAATTCACCCTCTATTTCTCTAAATAAGGTGATATCCTAAGATTGAACAAGAACTGACTAATTTTTTGAGGGAAAGTTCTAGATGTTCTAGAACTCAAAAAAAACTTTTGTTTTGTTCTTGAAAATAACGATCTAATGATACTTAATAGATCCCAAAATTATGGATCAATAAATTCTCCTAGGAATCTGTTTTGTGGTTTGCTTCAAGTACAATATACTCCCATAGAAGCATGCTATATGCGTTCAACATTTAACATGTACAAGAGGCTAGTGCTTACTATGTTAACCATCCAATACGTGCAAGAGAGTAGCACTTACTATGTAAACATTCAATATATTTGTTCAGGCCTTGTATATACATATAACCCTCACTATGTACACTTTAAAAAATGGTGGCAAGTTATATCTCAGATAAATGATATTTTAAGTTTTATTTGTTGGAGGTGGAATCATTATCCATAATGTTATTTCCGATCTTCCAAATGATTTTAATTAGCACCAATGTACTGGTTTTTTATCTCCTTTGATTCTTTTCATGTCGAATTACCCATTTGATGGTGGTGAGGGAGACTTTCCACATCTTGTTGTAGGTACTTGTGAGTTTCATCTTCAACAACTTTGTTGCAGACTAGGGCTTGACCCAACCAATATTTTAAAACCCGACGATTTTGCTGATTCGAATGTGGAATCCATCAGGACCGAATCGGTTTCTGAATGGTATGGGTCCGTGCCCTGTTCCCCCTAAAACCCCCATTTTTAATTTTTAATTTTTAATTTTATTTTTCTCTAAGCTTATCTAATGTTTTCAACGGTCCCCCTGAATCCCCACATCATAAACCTCTATTTTAATTATTATTTTACGTCATTTATTTTTAGTTTTTTTTGAATCATCGATTATGACGATTCAAGAGCGAACTATAGAAAATCACCAAATGATAGTTTGCGATTTTCTTTGTACAAACTAGCAAGTATTAAAACCCATGAAGCCATAGGGTAGATAGGTTTCTTCTATATGGCCATTAGTGCATTGTTTTTATTCGCTACTCTATAATTACTTCATTGGCACTAAGTAAGGTAAGTTTTCCATTATTATTGGGCTCCAAATGAGAACATCCGCCTTTCCCATTACTAAGAACCCAGAGGCTATGTCTTTTAATAAATAGAACAATTTTCTTAATACACTTTCAAGTGATGTTTCTAAAGGTATTTTTTTCCTAATGAGATCTAAACCCATGCTATATTTCACTTACCAAATCCTATCCAAATTTGGCAAGAAGAGACTTATTGACCTCCTTGTCTTTTTCCTTCTTAAAAAACTTCTCAAACTATTTTCAACAATATTAAAATGGATGAAAACTTTTTAAAACCAAATTTGAAATGACAATATCAGACGATAATAGCAGGCTCAAAGGAATTCAGACTTATGATTAACAGGGCGTGCTTGATAAAAAACAGTAAGGTAAATAAAGAACTTACCTATTACTGTCCATGTTCCCAACTTTGTGTGTAAAAAACTTCCCCCCCCCTATCGATCAAAAGCTTTGTGCCCTAAACTTCTGCGCACTCAGCCGCTCAGCCACCCCTCTCTTCGCACTCAGCCGCTCAGCCAGACCCGTCTCTTCTCTGTGAACCCTAAGCCGCTTCCTCTCTGACAAAGCTCTCTCTCTCTTCTTTGGAAGATTTGCCAGACCCCTCTCTTCTCTGTTAACCCTAGCTGCTTCCTCTGCGAGCAAAAGCTTGAGGAACCAGTGCGAGCAAGAGGAACCAGTGCGAGCAAGAGCAGCAACCTCTCAATCATCAGTGAGTTCTATGAAGATTTTCTTATTTTTTATGTTTTTTTTAGTAATTTAGGTTTTTGGATCCTTTCAGAGTTTTTTTTAGGAATCCCTGTAAAAAGATTTAGGGATTTCCTTATTTTTCTCTGTTATAAATCTGCTGTAAAAAAATTGGGGCTTTCCCAATATTTCTCTGTTGTAAATCTCTTGGAATTTATTCCGTCTTCTGATTTCTTGTTCCATTTCTTTTCATACACAAGTGAACAGGATACTTTGATATATTTCATTGATTCATGATATTTAATGCACCAAATGCATGTAAAAAATCTGCAACCTTGATTCATATATTTATGTATTGGTGATTCGAGTTTATTCATTCTAGAGAGCTACAATAGTTTCTTTATTTTATGGCTTGAAATGGGAGCCAAGCTAATCTGATTTATTTCATTGATTCATGATATTTGATGCCCCCAAATGCATGTAAAAAATCAGCAAACTGGATTCATACATTTATGTATTGGTGATTTGAGTTTACTGATTTAGAGAACTATTGTAGTTCTTTATTTGGTGGCTTGAAATGGGAGCCAAGATAATCTGATTTATTTTATTGATTCATGATATTTGATGCCCCACATGCATGTAAAAAATCAGCAACCTTGATTCATATATTTATGTATTGGTGATTCGAGTTTATTGATTCTAAAGAACTGCAATAGTTCCTTATTTTGTGGCTTGAAATGGGAGCCACAAAATTTCAGTTTACAGTATGGAACTTTTATCTCTTGTTATTATCCCTCGATAAAGAATTTTTTTCCCCTATTGTGTTTTGGATTTCCTCTGTTTATTTAGTGGTTTTGGTGATGTTCTGTACATAACAAAGCTGAGAATGTTCCTGTATAATCTGATTTATTTCCTTGATTCATAGTGGAATGGATGAAAATGTTCTTCAAAATGGAATTGATTTTCTTCAAAATGGAATGGATGAAAATTTTATTCCCCATTCTCTCTCCTCTATACTTTTTCTTCCATTCTTTCTCTGTCTCTACCCTAACCTACTCCAACATTTTTTCCTATTTCCAGGTCTCTCTCAAACCTTTTCTTCATTTGCAACAAGAGATAAATGGGGAAAAGGCTAAGCAAGGGCAAAGTATACAAGGAGCAATTATAGAGAGAAAGGCATGTTGTTTGAACTTTTCATGGAGAGAAAGAATTGGGATCAATTTTGATTTTATGGGTTTTTTAGATTGATTGAAGTGTTGACCGTGAGAAAGACCTTGCTTATAAATATATTCTGGTGTGGCAGTAATATGTTTTTCTCTCGCTAGGACTTAGTTAATTGTAGATTGATGTGTGACTTTGTCGCAGTAGAAAGAGAAAATCAAGGACTTGTTTACTTTGACAATTGAAGAGAACCGTTGTCGTAGGGGAGGGTTAGACAGAAATTCATGACCTTTTTAAATAGATGATTGAAGAGAAGAGTGTTGGAGTTTAAAAAGACTATGGTTGGTTTGCTAATTTGAAGTTGAGAGCATAGAGATTATTTTTCTCTTTGTAGGGTTTTCAAAAAGAAAAAAAAAAAGGGAGAGAAAATGTTAAGAGGTAAATTGTTCTCTCTCTGGTTTTTCTCTCTCCCTTACGAGGCCTCTTCACAAAGGTATATCTCAGTTTTTTTTCTCGCTAGTTTTTCTCTCTCCCCTGATTTTTTTTCTCTCTGTAGCTTTTTTTCCCTCTTCAAGTGATAACTTATATATAAAAAAAGAAGCTGATGATGTTTCTTTAGCCTCCTTTCACCCTGTGAAGAAGAATGCATGAAAAATCCTATTTCACTAGTTCGTGATAAAACATTGACACATTAACACCAAAAATTTAATGAGCACGAAAAGACCTAAGTTTGCATATATGAACAAATAACCTATGCTTAAAGTGTGGTATACTTTGAACCATATTAAAAAAAGTGTGCTACATTATGGCTGTTTTTTAATACCAACTAATTAGAAATTGTGACCCGTACTGTTGATTGTTAGATTTTGAACATTATGTCCTTGGTTATGGAATTTAGCATATTGATTTTATAGAAAATGATGTTGACGGTGCTAACCATGTAAGCTCTTTGCTAGAACGGCCCATGATATGTGCGTCAATTATTTCTTTGATTACGAGAAGCTTAACCTTTATAGACATGCTTATGTGATTCATTATGATGTAATTGGGTGCACATTATGATATACACATACCTATGTGATTCAATGAAAAGTCTAATCAGTTAACTGGAATGTGTTTACCAGAATGACTTCCAAAATAATGCTTTCCTGTAGTTTGTAATTTCAGGCTTTGGATGCGGCAATTGATTTAGATGAATCCATTTTTGGATTTATGGCTTAGATAATTACAACACGCATTATTTTTAGGACTCAGAATTTTCTTTCTTTATATCCGTATATCTCGAGCTCCGGATGATCAATTGGAATGTTTTCCAACTCCAGAACATTTTTTTCTATTGAATATTTGAGGTGGACCTTTTTTTTATGGTAAAAGGTGGCAATCTTATTTTTCTTATGAGTAATTTAGATTGACATATTTTTTCTTGCTATTAGTTTAATTTGATGAAATTTCAAATTTATTTAGTGGGTGTGGTTTGCATAGGCTTATAACAATAAACAATCAAAATAAGGCGCACATCCAAACTTTGTTGTAAGATGTAATTTTGGCCTAACAAATCCTTAGGATGACCCAAGAATCTATTTTTATATCAAATTGTAAAATTTTAAAACAAAAATTATTTTCAAATCCAATATATCTATAAGTACATAATTTTTTTGAAAATGACCAATTCTGATTATATATTGCAAGATGTATTATTTTTACGACTTTAATTTCTTATTTTTTCTGAGTATTTATTAAACTCTCGAATATGATGATCAATTAGGTTGTTTTCTAACGTCAAAAGTACATTTTTTCAATGGATTAGCAAGGTGCACCTCTAATAAAGCCTGATGGAGAACCAGATTTATGCAGCCGATCGTAATTAATTGGAAAAAAGCTAACAGATGATGGTGATGAGTGAGGTGCATCTTAGCTCAATAGCAAGGATCAGAGCTCAAGAAAGAGATCCCTCTTCTTGGAGGTGTAAACCTTAGTGAGCGACTGAGTGCAAAGAGAGGAGTTTGGCTGAGCGGCTGAGTGTGAAGAGAGGGATGGCTTAGCGCTGAGTGTGAAGAGAGGGATGGCTTAGCGCTGAGTGTGAATAGAACTCTTTTAGGGTGCAAATTTATCGGGGGAAGTTTTGATATAAACTTCCTTTTTCAAGTTCCATCCTTTTGGTCGGAACTTTTTTTACATACAAAGCTAGGAACATGAATAGTAAAGTGGAAGTTCCTTACTTACCTTACTGTCTTTTATCAAACACGAAAGATGAATAGTAATAGGTAAGTATTAAGTTCCAGGAAGCAACTTCATGTTATTAAACACGCCTTTAAATTCCTCTTTGCTGGGAATTTACTGGAAGCAAGTTCATGAACTGTAAATTGGAAGTTCCTCCTTGCTGGGAAGATGGAAGTTACTGTAAGAAGTTCATGGTTTTTGTGTATGATAACCTCATGGGAAGTTAATGCTTAAATTCCACTTTTTCAGTTATATCTCTCTCTCAATATTGGATTCTTCAACCATTTTCTGAACTCAAATTTCACAACAAACTCAACAAATTTCCTATTGATTTCTTTGAGAAATGTTGTTATTTGCAAAAAAACTCCAATCAATCTATAACAAGTTTTTTTTTTTTGTTCACTGTTCTATAACTACATTCTCAATGGTAAGATAAAACCCTATGGATGCTAAATAAGTATGAAAAGTGTTCCCATATTCATATATGAAGAACACAGAATAAAAGCTCAATGGCAAGGATTAGAGCTCAAGAAAGAGATCCAGGGGAAAGAGAGAGAAAGATGAAGAAAAATTTCATCTTGAAAACCTTGAAATATCAAAACAGGAAAACCCAATTGTGAAATATCAAAACAGAAAAACCCAATTCTTACAAGTTCCCAAAATATTCAAATTAAAAAAAAATATTCAAATTAAAAAATAATATTCAATAAAAATTGCAGAAGATAAAGGTTCTACAAACTGAAAATACTCAAAAATAAGTACCAACAAAACCACCTATACACAGGATAAATTGATAAAAAACGAAAGAAAAATAAAACCTAAATCTAGCAAAATTCAAAAATATATAAAAGAGGCATAGAAAAGCATCATTAAAAACTTGTACTCAAACCAAACCATGTACTCCAACCAAACCATTGTTTACATGAACAAGAATTGCCCTTCACTCAACTATAACCAGTAAAACAAGAGGAAAACATTCGACACCAACTGGGAAAACCCTAATCATCAAAAATTCCTTCAAAAACTCAAACACAAGGGCAGGAATTGATGAGCAATTCGATATGTGGTACACGCCGTGACGACGCCCGAGCAAAGAGAAAATTCAGCAGCAGCACGCCTCATTCAAGCAGCCAGATCACGACGCTCGGATACCCGATTGGCATGAAACTAATTGCGATATGTGCGTGAGGTCCGAGGCTATCTTTGGCCCGAACCTTGCATACGATGAACGGTTGGATTTCACACACAAAGGCATCAAAGCTGCTGTAAATTCCGACCACCAGATTTCAAGATTCCAATCAAAAACTCAATACAACAAAATCTTCATCCGTACACGAAATCAAGCTGCATTTGTTGCAACATGATCGTGACGGCATGCTCAGTGTGATTCAATGAAGAAATCACGAAGGAACATCAAGGAACAAGAACACAATCGATTTGAAGTTTTCAAGATTCATACAAATTCAAGTCTCATGATCATGGCTCGAAGTTAGTATCAAAATGATCGCCATGCCGCGCCCTACAAGAAAAAAATAATCTTTCGATCAAACGAGCATCAGAACACCCCCGGGTCAGCCAGGGAAGATCACGCAAGTTCTCGGGCAGTAGCAGGGACTGTTCTGGAATTCAACATATTGTTAGGCTGGGGCAAAACAATCCTTTTGCACCCATTTTTAGAATTTATTTAAATTCAATTAAATTGTAATTATCTTCAGCTCTAGGAAGTTTTTGGTCGTTTTAGTCTAATTCTATATAAACAGGTAATGCCTCACTGTACAAAAGAAGAATCCATTCTTCTTGGATCAATCAATAAAATTTTGAATTTTTCCTAAGCTTGTGGGTATGTATTGGAGAGAGAGAGAGGAGAGAGAAGAAAATAGTTGGTACCCTTCAGGCAGGTAACTTTCTCTCTCCTTCCCCTCTATTTCATCTCTATCGCTTTCTCTCTCCTCCCCTATTTCTCATTTCTATCTCTATCTCTCTTCTTCTCGTCTCTATCTTCTCCTCTTTTGAAACCAGTTAGAGAAGCCTCTCTGACTGGTTTTCTCTCCCTACTCCTCTTCTGAAACCAGTTTGTGAAGCCTAGTACCGGCTGGATTTATCTCTCTTCTCCTCTTTTATCACAGTCGGCGAAGCTTAGTGTCGGTTGGATTTCTCTCGCTTCTCCTCTTTTGAAGCCAGTCAGTGAAGCCTAGCGCTAACTCGATTAATATCTCTTCTCCTCTTTTGAAACCAGTCAGCGAAGCCTAGCGTCGATTGCATTTCTCTCTCCTTCTCTTCTGTCATAATGGCTGAAGCCTAGCACTGGTTGAATTTCTCTCTCCTTCTCTTCTGTCACAATCAGCGAAGCTTAGCTCCGGTTGTATTTCTCTCTCCTTCTCTTCTGTCACAGTCAGTGAAGTCTAACGCTGGTTGGATTTCACTCTCCTTCTCTTCTGTCACAGTCGGCGAAGCCTAGCACCGACTCAATCTCTCTCTCTCTCGCTTCTTTTTCATCACAATCGGCGCAAGCCTAGCGCCGGCTGGGTCTCTACTTTTCTTCTCTTCCATCACAGTTGGCGAAGCCTAATGTGGACTGTGTTTTCTCTCTCTTCTTCAGGCACAGTTGGCGAAGCCTATCAACGAGTGCGTCTTCCCTCTCCTCTCCTCTGCATAAACACAGTCGGTGAAGCCTAACGCCGCTCTCATTGTCTCTCTCTTCCTTGTAACACAATCGACAGTGCTTAACGCCGACTGCATCTTCTTTCCCTCTCTCTCTTTTATTCTCCCGCCTTTCACAATCTTCTTTTCCTTTCTTCTCCCTCCCTGCTTCTATTCCCTTCTTCACTTACTTTATTCTTTCCTCATAACCATCATCGTGTTACTCTTTCATTCGACTAAGAGGGATCAAGGTTAGCCTCACATGGTAGTCCTTTCGTCTAGCCGTAATGTTGCTGTGTCAAGATTACTTGGCCTGCTTTAATGCCACGACAGAGTGCCTAGCTAGTTGGTATTGGTAATGACATCTAGTAGTAATCATGTGAGCCGGTCTTAGGTACCGAGCCCATTTTACTACCACGTTAGGCCAATTATTCACTAGCTTGGTCACCGTTCTGATCTTCCCGCTCAGTCAAATTCTTCTCCCCCCCCATCTT